AAAACCGACCGACAGACCGGCACACATGGCTTGACGGACACCCGGACTAAGACCTATGAACACTCGAGTAGGCTTCTTCTGCTGCTGCCGCCGCTGCTGCTGGTCCTGGTCCTGCTGTCGCGGCCTCAGGTCGACAGCTCTGTTGGAGGGGAACTAACCGAGAATGCAAGTGGCGAGCGCAATTCGTCAAAAGCAGGTGACTGCGCTTTGAATAGCTACGCGAAAGTTTCTTTCGTGACGACACGTCTGAGTCGCCCGATCGAGGTTGAAGTTTTCCATGTGTTTACACTGGACCCCGCGTTGTTTGTCCGCCTGCTTGGGTGCTCGCTCGCTGCCTCACGAACTCCTCGCTCGGAGGTAGAAGTGCCGACAGTAGAATAGATGGGAGGGCGGTCGCGTACTCAAGTATACACTTGCACTACAGCCACTACTGTGCGAAAGTGTAGCCATGTCGACAACTGAAGTTGTAGATGAATTGCAGCAGAAAACGGCCAAGATACTGCTCGACCACCGAAACACACTTCAGCACCAGCATGTTCAAAGAAAATACGTACCCTGCACTCGTTGCACGAAGCCACACGAAGGTATATCGATTCGTTCAATAGGGTGCTCAATCAAGTATGGCATGGATGCTCATAAATTAGTTGCATTCAGTTTGTTTTACTACTCTACACAATACAATACTACGACACTGAAGCACTATATACCTGCACCACCCACAGTGCACAGGTTGACGTGCGTACACGCTGACAGCGGTGCAAACCTACACGAACAGCAAGCTGTCGGCGTCCAGGGCGACGTCAATGCCAATGCTGGTGGCCATATCGAAGTTAGCGTCGATGGCAAAGTCAGCGTCGTCCGAGTCGGAGGCGTCACCGAGCAGCGAGTCCAGCTCGCAGTTCGACAGCACCTGCGCGGCGTCCAGGTCGCATACTACAGCGGCCACGTCGTCCTCGCTGAGTAGCCCCGACGCAGCGCAGTCGACGTCGATGCTGTTGTTGTTCTCATCGGCGCGAGCATCCGCTTCCAGCTCAAGCTGGAGTGGCGAGATGGCGGCGTCCCAGTCCAGCTCGACCAACGCGGTCAGCTCGACGGAGTCAAGCGGGTCCAGCAGCAGCCCATCGTCCGTGTTGCAGTTGTCGCCCAGTGCCCATAGCGGCTCCAGCACGCAGTCAAAGCTGATTTCAGCCAGATCGTCGACGGCGCACACGTCGCGCGGCGACATCTTCTGCTTCTTCGCTGCGCTGGACGTCTCGGGCGTCGCAGCCAGAAGACTCCGGGGCCGCTTGGCAGACATGGTCGTGGATCTCGCCGTCGCTGCTGCTGCAGCAGCAGTGGTCGGCTTGTTCTTCTTCATCCGGCTCACCAGGACGGCGAGCTCCGACACGTGGCACCGCACGAGCACGTCGTGGCTGAAGGTGGCGACGCTGGCGCGCGTCTTGGTCCACTTGTGGAAGCCGAAGTTGTTGAGCTGGCGCTGGAAGCTGGTGAACTTGCCGTGCTTGAAGTACTTGCGCAGCACCTTTGTCTCGAGCCGCGGGACGTCGTACACCTGGAAGTGCGACCCGTCCGCCGACCAGGAGAGGATGCGCTGGTCTTCGTTCTGCAGCATGTCGTAGACGGCGCGTACGAAGCGAGGCACGGTGGCGTCGCTAGCAGTAGGGTTCATGTTGAGTTGTGTAGTTGGCTTTGGTGGTGAGAGGTGAGAGGGGGAAAGGTTCCGCCGCAATGGTGGTGGTGTGTGTTGTGTGGGTCGAGCCCGATTGAGTTGTGACGGAGATGTCAAGTGGCTCGACCGACGAGGCATGCCTGCGGTACGCACGGGTGTTCTACCGCGCCAGACAGATAGGTAACCCCCTGGGCAAACGCGGTGCGTCGTCACATTTGGCAAAACCGACCGACAGACCGGGACACGGGGATTTGCGGGCCCCTGGCGGTAAGATCTAACGACACTCGCGAGCTTCTTATGGTGGCAGTGGAACTGCTGTTGTGGTTTCCGGTCGACTCGATCTGTTGGCAGGGAACTCACCATGGTCACAACCGGCAAGTGCGTTTCCAGCAAAGCACGTGCCTTGATTTGAATCTTTACTACTGTAGGCGTAGTGTTGGTGTTGCTGTATCTTGATGAATGCTCGAATCGCTTAGGTGCCGTTCTTGAACTGTTACAAAATTCTTGGTGCACGGGGTTCCTACAGGGGCGCGGTTAGGAAGGATCGCGCTTGCGTACCTTTGAAGTAGCAAAATTTACGGAAAGTCCAGTGTGGTTAGCTAGGAAATGGCATGCGAGTGCACGTTCTCGAACATGGAAGTGTAGCCATTTCAGAAAGCGTCGAAAGCACGTGCCTCATACGATCACCAAGAAGTCACTTCAAGGTGGTACAGTAAACGTGCAGCGCGCCTTTCAATACAGTAGTATACTAGCCAAATGCAGCAGCTGTGTACTTCACTAGGCGCCATGCGCTTTTGGGGCCAAGGGCGCTGCAGCTGCGGTTTCTGCGCATTTCATTGTTCACCCAGCGCTTTCTGTAGTGAAACAATCCCCTGTGTATTGTATGCTCCGTCACAAATATAGCCTTCTCTGCTTCTCGTCACGAAAGAGACTAAGGATATCAAAGAAGCTTCTGCGCCCCCACAACTGAATTCACATCTGAGCAGCAACTCGTAGTACCGACTTAGTAACAAACATCGGTGAGATGCGCTCCAGCGAGAAGATCGTCGACGAGGTCCCTCGGTTCGTCCGAACTCTCTACGACATCTTGCACGACGAAGATCCGTTCATCCTGTCGTGGTCCGTGGACGGGTCTCACTTCCAGGTCTTCGACGTGCCGAGACTCGAGCGTGAGATCCTGCCCAAGTACTTCAAGCATTGCAAGTTTGCCAGCTTCCAGCGCCAGCTGAACAACTTCGGCTTTCGCAAGTGGACGAAGACGCGGGCCAGTGTGTGCACCTTCAGTCACGAGTTTCTCCACCGGTGCCACCCGTCCCAGCTAGCCCCGCTAGTAGCTGAGATGGAGGCGCAGAAGGCAGCGATGTGCGCAGCGAACACTCACATCGGGACAAAGCGCTTCCGTGACGAAAGCAGCACCGACGAGCGCGTTCTTCCCAAGCGACTTCACACCGAGGTAAAGCACGAAGACGAGCGCGAGCCAGAACAAGAGATGGCTTCGTTTAGTCCAGAGAACTTCGTCAACGAGTCGGGGCCATTGGCTGGGTTTGATGCAGCGGATTTGGCTGCGCTGGATTGGTCACTGGTGACCGATTCTGGTCGAGAAGATGAGCTCAGTTCTCTGCTCGAACCGATTCTAAACCCAGTTGCGCCTATTGTACAAGCCGAAGTAGGTAGCAGGATTGCGTACGACAACACCGAGGTTGCTTTCGAGACGTTGCCACCGCTCGACACCGAGTACCTTGGCGATTCCTGGACCGACATTTTCGACGAGGTGTCCTTGTGACTCGGAGTCAGAACCACGTGGTTTTTTTGTATGATTTTTTATCGACTGTATGCGAAGGTAGATTTTCGTTTTTCAAATGTAGACATAGGATCAACTTACAAGGTTGCCTGGCGCCTATGCAACATGAAAAAAAGCTGATTCAGGCGTTGTTTCCTTGCACTATACGTTCGTGGGGGTGTCAATTCGTTTTCTTGGTTAGAGTTTGAGGGCGCAGTGCAGGCTGTGGGGTTGGACAACTTGCAGCAAGTAGCTCACATGTTTCTGCTAGGTATACGCACCAGGGTCAACACAGTTCGCACCCGCTTATTCAGGATGGTGTCAGGCGCTGTGCTTGGGTAATCGAACGGGGTCTTAAGTGTCTCGATACCATCATGACCACACTGAAGAGCAGATCGCACGAGATGGAGAGTGAGGTCGAGTTGGGTAAAAAGCTGTCCAGGTAGAACTTGGGATTTGTGAGATGCTACAGCAGATGAAAATAGTTTTTCTGGAAGGTGCGGGAAGTTTCAAGGTAGTGTAGTTCCATAGAAAGTGAAACCACCGCGAAGGTGGCCGGCCGGCCACTCTCCGCCGCCCCACGGAGCTCATTCCACAAGTTTCCGCCTCGGTAGCTAGTTTTAACCCTCCACGCCACGCCCTTGGCAGCGGGAGGCGCTGCTAATCAAGTCTTCTTCGTCGCCGCGGTGCGGCATGATCCCCAAAGCTACATCAAGAAAGAAGGGGATTGATGCCTATCAACTGCGTCGCTTGTGTACGCTCGCACGGCCACCGTGCGCCCACTAACGTATTGTGCGGTGAATCTACAAGAATACCGTCCTTTGCCGTGTATTCCATCGGACGTGGTGGCATATTCCGTGGATACATCCAAAGAGGTGGTCAACAAAACCCATTCGGGTTTTCGAGAATGTCATCTTCAACACTAGGAGTTTAGCCCGTAATCTGTCTGCCTCTCTGTCCTCAAGTCGCTTGGTTTACGGGCATGCATGCTACGGAGGCGTTGATCGGCTGTGGATACTGTTTTCGGCCACGCCATCGAATGGGCGATCCTTGAGGCGACAAAATTGAGCACCGAGAAGTGCCGCTTCCGCCCAACGGAACAAGAGGAAACTTGCACATACATACCGCCTCGTCGAAGAGGTGCATTATTCTGGTGTCACCAGTTAGTGAATGCTCACTAACTTTTCTTCGGTCGTTCCCACCTCGGTTGGAGGAAATTGCAATAGAATCACAGTGAGACTTCATAAACGAGATCGATGTTTCGGCACTCGATAGTTGATTCATATTGATACTCCGACTCCTGCACACTACTTCGACGACACCACAAACTACATCTAACACGAAAACTACCTTACTATCAATTCCGGTAGCCGTTGATCACTTGATCGCTTTGTGTCCAGCCCTTCCTCTTGAGGCCGGACGCACACCAGTACTTCAGTCGTACTGGATGCGTTTGGTGGCACCTATCGATGCCAAAACGCCCGGTGGCGTTTGATTACACCCATTGCTGTGGGTTGTGCCAGAACGCCAGGCTGTGGCCCGGGTGGCGCTTGAAAAACTGGATCGGCTCGACCTTGTCGTCCACGTTGCGGTGGACGTACATGGCAAGGCAGCCCGGGTGGCTTTCGCGCCGAGACGGCAAGAAACCCACTGTCCTCTTGCGATCGTACACACTCTGCAGGTAGAACTTGGACGTTGAGGTTACAGGTGTGCGGTCGGGGACACCAGTGATGACAAACTTGGCGCGTACGTCAATCTTGTTGCTGAAGGTAAGCTTCTTGGAGATCTTCTGCATACGCAGCACTGTACCGTCGGTGCGGGCCAGCGAGATGCAGTCTCCGCCGCGAAGTAACCCATCTGTGGTGTGCCCAATGATACGGAGGGTATCTGCGTCCTCCAACTGATCGTAAGGCTGAATACCGTAGCAACGCACACGCCGCGAGAAAGGGTTCTTGTGGCCAACTCCTCGTCTCTTCGAATGTCCTTGCACTTGGGTGATCTGGCCAGTGGTCGTCTTGAATGCCAGGTGCAGCTCCTGTCCGTGGTACATTGGCACTGAGGAAGGCTCATTGATGAGCTGGCGAGACCCAGGTGCAGCAGCTCCCGCAGCAGCGGCGGCGCCACCGTCGGGTACTGTAACGTTGCGACGAATGACTTGGCTCATCATACGAGGCGGCGAGCTCATGCCGCGAATGTTACGGGCCGAGCCTCCAACTTTCCTCGGTACTTCCGTGGTGCGCGAGCGCGGGATACGGCGAATGAGCGAAGCCTCGAAGTTGGCCAGAGCTTGGGAGCGTGTCTGACGAATGCTGTCGATGTCCACCGATCGGTTCGTGGGGTCCTCGCCGTAGTCATCCGTCGTGGCGCTGCTGGCGTCGTCGTCTTCGATCTCGCTCTCGCTTTCGAACTCGTCGTCGCTCTGATCAATGGCCAACGGCGACATACCACGCTGTTGGTTCTGGTTGAAGATGAGCACGTCGCGCACGTGTGACGGGATCGGAGGCGTCTCGTACTCAGTCGGCAGCATGTCCAGCGTGAGTCCTGCGGGGATCGGGGGCGTGCCAGCCATGAGACTGTTGATGTCCTCGAACGTCGGTCTCAGACTATCGAACGTCGGCCTCGAAACGCCAGTGTCCTCGAATGTCGGCCTTGACTTGCCGGTTTCCTCAAACGTCGGTCGCACACTACCGCAGTCATCGAATGTGGGTCTCAGGCCGCCAGTGTCCTCGAACGTCGGTCGCAGGATGTCATCGCTACCGTCGGTGTCCACGTCGAGGAACGAGTTAGCCAGGTCCATCATAGGCGGCGGTGTCATAAGCGGTGGCGGAGTGTCCAGTACATTCGGCGAGGAGGACACACTGGTCGTGGAGGACTCGGTCATCTTGTTGGGCGAGTCCGCAAAGTGCTCCGTCCAGCGCATCGTCATGCGCGACAACGGGTTCAGGATGTTTGACAGACGCACTGACGACGATAGCGACGACGTGGTGTGCGCACGGCGGCGAGAGATCGGCTCGTCCTCGCTTAGTACGGCGATGTCGGCCGCGTCGTCATTCTGAACCAGCTCCTCGACGTTGTCATAGACAGCTGCGGCGTGCGCCTTGTAAGGCGGCACTGGCGGGGGCGCGCGCTTGTACGGCCGGTTGCGGATGGCCGGAAGACCTTCGTCGCCGACAGTTTGGCGACGCATCCGAGGCGGCGACGCCGCTGGGTGCACCGTCACCTTGCAGTACTTCGGGTCCGCGCACATGGTCATTGGTACAGTCTAACTTGGTCTGCGCTCGTCACAGATCCAGGCAGGCAGAGTCCTGAGCGGCACGGGTCAAGTTGGAATGTAACTCGGAGCGAGCGAGCTCTCTCGCCGAACGGTGACAGGCGCGCCATGGAGAGAGGCGACACCCGGTCGGCAGGGCGTCTCGGGGTGGCAAGCGCGGCTACGGTACCGTGGCGCTCGACTCGGCCTCACTATTGCTGGCCCATGTGTAGGGTGGCGTGACCTGCCAGCTGGCATCTGGATGCTCGCCATGCTCCGCGGCCTTTACCTCGACGAACAATGGACGATCGCGAATTTACACCAAGATGTTGAGTGCAACGTTCTTGAAATATAGCAACACTAGTTCCAGCTACATTCATAAAGTTATTCTTGAGTTGAAATCATATTGGCGGCAGTCATTTCCGCACAATGATATTGATACTGAGCCACAAGATGGGACCAAGCTGTTCCAATAGAAATCGCTGCGTGAATACGGCCACAGGCTGCGAACTCCATTGGCCGCAGGATAGTCACGCTGCGTTGGGTTCTTATGCCGGCATCTTGTCCGCAGAACGCTTCCAAGTATACATGCACGGCTTTCCAAACCCGCCGGCACGCCGCAGCTACGAGCCGCTCAATGCTCGAGGGTCTTCTAGCATGCCGGTAAAGGCCCGTGCGGCTATTGACGCGCAAATGTGGAATCGTCGGTAGTGATCCATTCCTTCAGTGCCGTCTCTCTCTTCAACGCTGGCAAAGATGGCGACCGCAAGCAGATTCAGTCCATGCGGGGATGCCACTATGCGGGCTTAGAAAGAAAAAGAGAGTGGTGTGAAGCCGGATCGAAGCGATTGGAGAGATCCACGCCTAACCATCCAAAGTGGTTGAGCTATCGCTTCTGCCCACTCGCGAGTTGGCAATCATGTTCAGAACTGACTCAAGCTGCGTGTAGTTTTCCCGTCTGTTCTCAGCAGCAACGCACACCTCTTTGTGAGTCACTGAGCATGTCGTCGCGGTGTAAGGACTGCCGTCCAGACGGCAGCCTCAAGTCCTTGCAGTGAATGCTCTTCGCATGAAGTGAGTCTTTTACGCTAAAAAAAATAACGGGGACGCCAGTGACTTGAAGCCGAGCGCTGATCGGCTTCAATATCGCCCTCCTTTTACGAGCTCACCCAGACTGCTGGTCACACAGGGTAGCCAACAGCTCACATCTTCGTCTGCATGCTCAACGAATTTGCCACTGTGAGCCAAGTTGAGACGTAACAGCGACAGTGTCGGCAATCTTCTCGGATTGAAAAGCTGAATCGAGGTGTTTGCTTTGAACAAACAGAATCGCTGTAGCTATTTAGTGTCTTTCGCGTCAACACGTTTCGCAATCTTGAGGGAGGCAGTGGTCAACATGTCCTCGTGACATGCTTGTCTATTGGGTATCCATCCATTGAGTTGGCCTCGTGAATGCAGGTAACTTGGTGTTTATTTCGATAGTCTTGTGGTAAACAAACTGGAACCGGCGATGATTACCACAAAAAGAGATGCATTCTCGTCGGGCGAGTCGCTTTCCAAGTTTCCAACGCCACATAAACAAAATTTGTGAGACTACAAGAAGTCCGCAACGACGAATGAGCCGGGTGCACACCACCTCAACCAACAACACCAACAGTAACAAGGACATGACGCGCATTGTGATTATCGGAGGTGGATCTGGCGGTTTCCGTCTGGCTCAAGCTCTCGCCAAGAACCTTACTGAGAAGGACAACACGGATGTCATCGTCCTCGAGAAGAACGCCTTCTTCTACCACGTCGTCGGCGCCCCGCGTGCCTACGTGGACGCCGACTACACCGACAAGATGTTCATCCCGTACGACAACGCCATCCCCAAGCACTCCGCCAAGTTCGTGCGCATCGTGCGCGGCGTGGCCACGCGCATCTCGGCCGAGACGAACGAGGTGTCGTACCACGCGATCGGCAGCGACGACCGGCAGAGCGAGGCGACGGAGACGCTGCAGTTCGACTACCTGGTGCTGGCCACGGGCAGCTCGTACTCGGTGCCGATCAAGCCGGACAGTCGAGAGTTCGCTAGGTCGGCCACGGAGGCCAAGCTGCAGGAGGTGCGCGGCCACATCGAGAAAGCGAAGAATGTCCTGGTGGTGGGCGGTGGATCTGTTGGCGTCGAGGTGGCGGCGGAGATCAAGGCCAAGTATCCAACCAAGTCCGTGACGATCGTCGACGCCAACGACAAGCTCATTGCTGGCAACAATCTGCGCAACAAGTTCTACACGTACCTGAACGAGTCACTAGAGAAGCTGGTGGTGGTTTTTTTCTTTCCAAATCTGCATCTAATCTCCATCTAGGAAACGAATGCACTCACAAACTTACTTGGGGGGCGTGGCGCCGAGGCTTCCCCAGGTGCGGCCAGCCATGAAGTCCTTGGCCTTGACCATCCACGTGACCCAGTCGCCGACCACGACTCCGCCCCAGACAGGCAGCTGCGAGACACCTCCGCTACCCACTGGCAGAATCACCGCCTCGGTCGTGACCTTCGGGTAGGGCTTATTGAAGCCGTCTTGCTTCTTCTGCACGACGGCCGCGAGCTGCGCGGCGAGGAACTTGCCCTGGTCAGCGGCCCAAAACTCCATCTTGGGCGTCGCGTGGTTGCTGCTGTCGCCCAGCGCGAAAATGTTCGAGTACTTGTCGTCGTCCAGCTGCAGGAGCTCGTTCACCTTGATCGATCCCTGCTCCGTGACGAGCGATGGATCCATGTCCTGCACGAGATCGGAGACCGGGTGGAAGCCGCCGCACAGCAGCTGGATGTCAGACTCGATCTCCGTTCCCTTGTCAGTGCGAAGGGTGCGCTTCTCGAAAGAGTTTCCAGGCAGGCGCTCCGTGAGGCGTTCGCCCAGGATAACATTCACCTTCATGGCGTCCAGAGCAGCGTGCAGCTTTGAGTAGAAGTTGTCGGACAGCTTGTTCCTCGAAATGAGCTCGCTGTGGGCCTCCAGGATCGTCACGTCCTTGTCCGGGTACTTGGCCTTGATCTGGCCAGCCATCTCGCAGCCGTGTAGTGTCTTTCGACCCTTTGCTTGCTTAAGAATCCTTGCTTGGAGGTGAAATGAATTCTGGTATTCAATGCAGCCGCTGCGGCTTGCGCCGCAGCGGTTTCTGTTAGTTTCTCTTTGCTATATGCCTCCTTACTATGCAGTATACAATTGCTCTGAGAGTTCGCCCCGCTCTCATGCTTCTTCATGTCGTTGATAACGACCGTGCGAAGTGTCTGCTGAAGGCAGCCTATCCCACTACACCGCCCTCCAAGCAGACCTTCGTGCAGGAGCTCCCGCCATAGCTTGTGTCGCACTACTTCTTGGTGTTGCGCTTGGCGCGGCGTTGGCGGTGATTCTGTTTTGGCGGCTTCGGTTGAGCATCATTATCCCCACCACGCTTGCCCCGACGGTGAGACAGAGTTGGCTGGGCTGTAGACTCTGCACGCTTTCTTCCTTGGGGATGCGACCGCAGTTGGAGAACGAACTGACGTAATTCGTCGTCGTCGGCACTGTCGACATAGTCCTGCAACTTGATCGGAACATCCTCATATATAGTCCTCACAGGCTCCCAGGAATCCTCGATGGCCTCGAGGTCTTCCCAGCGCACCAACATTTCATAAGTGTGCGCTGCGTGCTTGCGGTGCTGAGTGAATGCCTCCACAGTTAAGTAGATGTCTTGGTTTGCAATGTGTGCCAGCATTTCCTCGTTGACATCCAGACTTTGGTCCGCATACATTTTCAAAAGCGAGGCATGAGCAAACTGTCGTAGCAGTGATCAAATGCTCGATTTCAAACGAGTTGACGTTTGCGCCAACACACGGTACGGCCCCACCCACGTGACCGAAAGTTTGTTGCCCTGCTTCTTGGCATCGACTCGAGACCAGAGAACATAGTCGCCAACATGAAAGTTGACTGAGCGAGCACCTCGCTGTTTGTTCTGGTTGCGCTTAGTTTGCTTTTCCTTGGCCGTGGCTACGTCTCGGTGCATGCCATCGAGCGACGCTCGCAAGTTGCCAACAGCCTCACGCACGTCTGGCGAGAAATCACCCGTGGTCACCACATTTGCCGCAATAGCATCACTGCCAATCAGGATTTTCTGCAGTGGAGTCGTTGCCTTTACTCCAAGAAAGACTTCGGCTGGGGCGTGGTTGGCCAGAGATGCCACTGGGCTGTGATTCAAATTCGCTTGAATGAGTGGTAGCAGCGCGGCCCAATTATCTTGCTCCACCTTAGAGCCTGTTCGCGTTGTACTAGAGATGGAGATGGTGCTTGATCTCCACCTACAGCTCGTTCGCTACGTATCCATACGCACTGCTCCTAGCACTTGAGCATTGGTTTCATCTCTGCTTTCTCTCCTCAAAAGCTATTTTCACCTTGAACTTGAAAATATCCATTTCAGTCGAAGTCGCTCACGATTCTGGGGGCGTGCCAAACGCGGCACAATGATGACGAAGTTGCATTGTAGCACCACCACTGCCGGGGTATCCGGGCGTGGGGGATGCCCCTAAACTTGATGCAATGCGGGCTTCTGCAGCATTTGCGACGCCATCCGCGATGTCAACTGCCCACTTATGCGCGTGTATCGTTCGACTGCGTCGGACTTCCATCTCCCAAACAGCTTCACTGCCAGACTATCAAAACCAGCATTAAACAGCGCCGTAGCGCCGCCACTTCGAAGGGAGTGCGAGGCGTAGTCTTGCGGATTATGGCCAGCTCGACCAGCAGCAGCCTTTATCGCTCTTACCACGTCGGATACTTGCAAATTGTGAGATGCATCCACCTTGCACAGTAACTCGCCCGCATCAATACGAAGCGCCTCGTGGTGACGAACTAGGTACCATGCTGCTAGTACAGGGCAACACCACCGATGCCCAGATCTCGCCAATTCTCGAGAAGTACCCTTGCCAAATTGGTCGGATTTACTCCCTCGAAATTGTAGAATCACCGAAGTCACATCATGAAGGTTTCGGGTCTCGTGGCCTCTAGCATCCACAAATTTGACGTCCGCTCTCCGAATTGCGTAGTCGTGCATCCTTGAACCTTGAGCCAAATATTCGGATCTTCTCAAAAGAAAGAAGAAGCCCAGCACCGAAGCCCCCCAAATGACCCGGTGCTGGGCAACTGCGAAATCGAGGAGCTCATGCAGGCACTTGAGGATTGCGCTTGTAACGGGAGATTTTGGCTTGCTTGATGGGTCTTTCCGCCGCATTCCGGTGATAGCGAGTTGGTGGCCCGGCAAAAGGCCGACGTTGTAACCAAGGGTTCGCCTATGATGCCACGCAATATGGCTGACTTTAGAGAGCACGGTCGAGGCAGAATTCCCCGATCCCGATTATCCCCAGCCATATTTCCAGCAGTACGTGGCGAAAAGGGCGAGCTGCTACGAATGTTGCCGGCGGTCTTCTGGCAGCCATTTTGCGAATTGAAGCCGCTCACACCATCTACACCACTGTGTCCATGTGCTTGCATACTTGATCTTGGACGTCGTGGCCAGTGACTCGGACTGAAGAGATTCGAGAAGTCGATGTAAATTTTCCTGCATTCTTGTGGAACTTGTGTCTGCACCCAACACGAAGAAAAATTAGTCCATCGAGCAATGTAAGGTTCGGTCCAAGCTCGCGAAGCTGCATCAGCCATCCAATTGGCCGATCCTGGAATATGATCCGCCGATACTCGAAGGTTGAAATACACTTCAGCCAGACCAATCGCCCGATTTATTTCTTGGCTGAACGCGTTGTTGGAGTGCATCCGATTGCACCAACTCACAGCTGCGGCATTGTCACTCCAACACTTGACATGAATTGTGCGTCCGTTCGCTTGTGCGCTCCACTTTAAACCCCACGACCACAACGCGATGGCAATGCACAAGACATTGATTGAAAACTCGTCATGGCCGCTACCAACTTTGTCGATGAGCAGTTTCTCTTCGTCATCAAACTGGATCTGTATATATGACTCGCAGGCGGGATCAAGCACGGCTAGCCCGAGGTTGGACGCGTCCATATACACGGTGCCGGCAGCTCGCCAAACATCGCAAGCGGTAATTCAGCAAAACAACCATGCATTAAAATGTGCCGAAACCACACGAGATCTGTTTTGGCCCCTGCTGTAAGTTTAATTCTGCCGAACCGTGGTGCTGATCTGCAATCGTTGGTAAAAAGGCTTGGCTGCTGGCAGACAATTAGCCACGTGGCGAAGAGAACCCAGTAGCTTGTACAGTTCGGATTTTGACGCTGTGCCGCGTTGCTCCACCGCACTGGCGCGAGCACGAGCTTTAGCGATCTTCTCTTCTGGTATCGATACGGTGCGGCGCTTGGTGTTCCATAGTAGGCCCAGAACAATAATTTCCACACTCCATTCCGAAAAATTTGCCTCATTGATCGAAGGGGGTCCTAAGACAGCCAACATAGCGTGTCGTAAAGTAGCTTCAGCGAGTTCTAACCTGTTCTGGACATCCGGTTCGACCCAGACATGGTCATCTACCCACTCGTAAGGAAAAAATGGGTTCGTGTCGCTCGTAGTCGGACACCGCTGCAGGTGAACTTCTGCCCATTAGCCACGTGATGGCACGGCCAAAGAGTGCGTAGCAGGGGGGCGAACCTGACCAGCCAAATGGTGCCGCCATATCGACGACGAGAATGCCGAGTTCTTTCACATATGCCGCCATTCTGAAGACCTGGTTTGCGCGTGTTCTTAAGTACTCTTGACATCTCCCTTGAGGACGCATATCCGGCCTGCATGCCCTGCTTTTGCTAAACTGTCGATGCGCCGTGCGATAACTACCACTGACTCGTATCTCACTTTGGGCACCGACTCGACAATAAATGCAGCGTTTACACAGTCGTCTTTTGGGTAGGATAAGTCGTGAATTGTGCGCACTTCCTCCATCGGGTCCACATCCTTCTTCTCAACAGCACCGAGCGGACTGCAGATTAGTTCTGGCCACCGCTCAATGATATCAGCATCAACTATCAAATATTGACCGGAGTCTTGGCCATCCCGAATGCTTCTTGTGACAGCACGTAGGTAACGTCGGCAGGAACCATGGTTCTTCGGTGGTGGCCGCCGCGGTCTCGGCCGTTGTCTCCACCCCACGTCGATGCCCTTCTCAGCAATTTCAACGAGTAGATCGAAATGTTGATAGCCGTTAAGAACGGTCCGCAGCCGGACAGGATCGATGGCTTTGTTCGGTCTGCTGTCTACGCTATCTTCACCCCGCACAAATCGCGTAGCCTCTTCCGGGGACATATTGTGCGTGCGAATTACGGTGGATAGACTTGCAGGCTACTTCGTCAATTGCGTAGACAGGAGATACGAGTCGCTTTGCACTAACGAACCCCCGTTTGCGGTGCAGGACGGAAATTCGAGCTTCGGCCCGAAGTAAATCCGCTTCCAAACATGATTGAATCTCTCGCGCCGAATCCAATGACAGACTAATGTGGGCGTGACTGCAACACCTCAACCGACAAACGCATGCACCCTCCACCGGCAACTGCTGCGACCCAAGTGATTTTGAACGCAAGTCAGCTACCCGGGTGCAGGATACCTTGCCGGTCTCGCTCCTTGCGTCTGCCTCTGTGTCATAACAAGGCCTCGATTGACGACTATCTGTGCAACCAGCAGCCATTGGCGCTGTCGGATTTACCGCAGATCCCGCCGACTGCGCACAAATTACCTCGCCAATCTTGCTCGTTGTTGTGGGTACCCTAATTGAGTCGCGTGGGGGCCTCGATTCCACGCGTAATCTAGACTGGTCCAACACCGTCTGAGATCCATCACTTGAATTGATTGTGTTAACGCAGTTTGCTACTTGACCTCGCGCCACCCTATCGGCTTTGCATGGCACCGCCGACGGTCGGTCGTTTTGCGTTCGTGATGGATACATTGCCAGACCAGTCTGAACGAGTCATAACTCTTTGTGCTCGTCCTTCAGCCCACCAAAGCGCCTGTCAATCTCTTTTTTCACGATCGCGGGTAGCTGCTTGGGAACGAAATGCCCATGCTCGCTGGGACAACCGCCATCACTGTCCACCGCACAACCCGCCGCTGAGAGAAAACGCATGCACAGTCGTCGCGACTTTCCTGATGCGGGGTCGTTCTGTACTGGTAATTTGCGAAGTACTTCCTTAGGGATTCGCCCAAATCGCTTTCTTTCCGTCGTGGTTGCGGCCGTTGCGGAGCTGGGATCCTTGTTCAACGTGGCCCTCAAGGCGTGCTGGTCCCGACATCATCTCGTGTCGTACATCCTGCACTTGCCGATGCACCTTTATAAACATCACATCCTTGAGCAACCGGTCATCGGTCGTACAACATTGCTGTACGGCTCGAAGCTCACCACCTTCCTCAGCCGCTGTACGAAAATCCTCGAGAACGTCATTTACCCAGAAAACTAAGCTAGAAATCTCTTTTGGCGTCCACGATACCTGCGATAGCGTGTGTTCGGTGAACTTCACGATGGTCTCAACCAATTCGACCAGTTCAGCACAGCAAAACTCGCGAGCATAGGTGAGGAAAACCATGGCAGAGTCCACAACATCTTCGATGCGCGATGCCGGTGATGCCGCCGAGAATTCTGCAGTTGCGGACAAATTGTCAAAGTTTGAACCACCGGCCTCCAACCAAGCCACCCGCTCATCCCTCGATAGTCTTGCAAAGTGTCGAATCGAAAGACCACCAGAACCGAAACGAATATCATAGGCCCGCGTACAAATTCCAGGTACGGCTTTGAACTCCACGTGCTCGGACCGAACTAAACCTCTGAAAAACACATTGGCAGACTTACCTTTGTGCTTCTCCGTTGTTATGCGCTCGTGAACTAATTCCTGCTCCTCGGACGGTGCAAATGCGTACTTAGACGACTTCTTTCCCCTTGTCGTAGGGGATGGCTTCTGTATGGTACCACCACCCTCCGCCGGCTGCGCTTTGACGTTGGCCTCCTTCCTAATCATCAAGAAACGCTCGAGAAGGTCCGGTTCGTCGCTTATTTTTGCGATAATCAACGCGTCTTGATCAATAGCGGTTTGAACTCGTTGTCGCTTGGAGGGGACGTGGCCATCGTCGCCGTTGGCAACCGTGACCTCTTGCTGTCGTTTTGTCACGTATTGTGTGGTAGTGTTTGCCCGACCAACTTCAGCACCGCGTTCCGATTCGTCTTGGGGCGAGTCATCGTCGTCTGGAAACGGGTCAAAGAGCTCTTCCACGTCCTGAACCGAGCCGCGAGACAAAGCGGACGTGCTCCGAAGCGGTTGGGGCGTTGGTGGTTTACAAAATGAGTTGCCTACGCTGCGTGGCACTGGTGACACCCCTCCGTCGACGTAAAAAGCGAAATTTATAGCGTGGGTCGATCCACTGACACACCTTGTCACCACTAGGGTGATTTTCCTCACTCATCAGACCTTCCAGTATCTCGGACACTTGATTTGAAGCAGAACTACCGCCGGTACCGAGAAGCCGACTCAGAATTGACTGCTCCATCGCCTCTAGGTCAGTAGGACTCCACTCGTCGCTTCTGAACTCGACGTCTTCAAGCAACAGAACAATCACTGGTGGCACCACTGACACTGCAGCTGCCGCTGCCACAAATTCATGACCACCGGATCGGATCGTGACACTGCTCTGGTCGACCGAGGTCACTTGTCCATACTGAACCTCTCCAGCTAAACTGATGGACACGGGTCGTCGGAGCAACGAGATCTGACCGGCCTGGGAAACTTCACTGGCCCGAACCACGTGATCTTCGGCGACGGCACGATCCAGTTTCCCTTCGCCTCCTTCCAAGCTGCGAAACGTCACCTCCTCCGAGTCTAGCTGTAAGACCTTAGCATAAAACGGATGCTCTGCTTCGAACTCCACCACTTCAGTTGTCAGGTGAAGGAAGGAGCGGCTTGTAAGTCTCACCATGACCGGAGTGCTGAAGGCTGAAAGCTAAAGCAGGAGGGCTTAAGCGGCAGACGGAGATTCTGAAACTAACGCTACGACCTCTACGACTGCTCCTAGCACTTGAGCGTTGGTTTCATCTCTGCTTTCTCTCCTCAAAAGCTATTTTCACCTTGAACTTGAAAATATCCATTTCGTCTCCATCTCCAGCTACGTAGCGAACAGGCTCTTATACTCCAACAGCATGACTCGCAATACCTGCAGAATATCGCGATTTAGTCTCTCGACGCTCCCATTGATCCACGGGCAATACGCGAGAGTGAAGCTCTGAATCATCTGGGTTTTGTGGCACAATTGCTCCAGTAGTTGGTTCTTAAAGTGCGTTGCAGTATCGCTGATCAGCAACTGAGGTATGCCGTATCGACTATTCCAGTCCAGAATTGCCGTGGCCGCTGTGGCCGCATTTGCACTCGAGCACTCGATCAGTTCGCAGTAGTGAGAAAAGTCATCTTTCATGACCAGCAGATAGTTGCTCTCTCCATTGTAGTCCCCAATGAACAAGTAGTCCATGTGCAATGCTTCGTTGCGCTCTTTGGAACGATAGGTCTCACCCCACGGACGTGGTATTATTTTCCCGCCCTTGACGTGGCAGCACAAGAGACAGCGACTGCAGAATGCTCGTGCTTTAGGCTCCATTCTTTCAATGAGGAAGTGTTCTTGGAGGTGGTTGATCATCACCTTCACCCCTCGATGACCCATTGTGCCACAGTGGGCGATCACCATCAGCCTCATCAAGAGCACTTCCGCGTCCTCCGGAATCCACACACGGTTTTGCTTATCTCTCCACAACCCATCCGGTTGCTCCTCGAGATGCGGCGGACGAGTGCACGTTGTTGCTAGTTGCGCACCTTTGATGTCTTCCTCCGTAGGCCAATCAGAGTCTGGACGCAGTGGACGAAGCTCCACCTGCACATGTGCATCCTGCGTCTGCCAACGCTTGATCGTTGTAGTCTCCCTGGGCAACTCGATGCAACCCCAACGAGACGCCATATCCGCCCACACATTTTCTTCTCCACTGATATGTTCAATAGTATAGCGGAGTTCATTAAGTTTCAAGCTCCATCGCTGCAATTTCCCTCGCACGTGCTTCTTGATCTCATCACCCGGTGCGAAGATGAAAATCAAGTTGCGATGATCAGAATATAAGCGGAAACCTTTAGAGCGGATCAGCAAATAGTCCAAGTCCGTCGCTGCCTTTATGATCGGAAAGGCCTCTTTTTCCGATACACTCCAGTGCTGCGCAGCTCCCTTGAACGTGCCGCTCATGCAGTGCACGAGTTGATGCTGCTACTCGGTAATGCTAGTCGCAGGATCCCAGTCCGCGACAGCCGTCACGATGATGCTCCAACCTGCATCGCTGGCGTCCGTCATCAATATGAGCTCGTCCGAGTCATCCAGAGTCACCAACGTAGCGAGTAGTTGCTTAACTTGGCCGAAACTGATGCGTTCTTCGTCAGAAAAATTAATCGCGACGCGCGCTGCAACATGCTTTGTCCGCTTTGTTCCTTCTAACGCAGTCTGCAGACGTTCTTGCAGTGGCGCAGCTACTCGAGCGAAATCAACCAGGGAATTGCGCATCCAGCCGGCCGCACACAGAAATTGCTGCAACTCAGCCGCGGTTTTCGGCTCAGGAAGATCAATCAGCGTCTGAATCTTTTCGTGATCATACGCGACCCCGTCCTCCTTAATGATTCGGCCGCATCACTTTGCTTCGGTAGTGTACAGGCAGACTTTATTCAGCCCGAGAAATAGTCCATTCTTCTCCAAAGTACTGTAAACACGGTCAAGAATCGATAAAATTCGTCTATCGTGTGCGTAGATGAGAAGGTCATCAATCCAGGCCAGTACATGCTCGTACAACAGATTCGCTTCACGCATAATCTTCTCAATCGATTGCTGAAAGTGGATCGACGAGTCCACTGAACCTTGTTGCAGACGCGTTGGCGTGAAAACACCATCTTCCGTCATGTAAGACTGTGACTCTTGACTTACTTTAGCGAGAGCCATTTGCCAAAAGCTTTTCAGGAAATCGACAGTTTGCCGGTGTTTCTTGTTCTTCGTGTGGTGAAGTCGTGTACTGAGACTGGGCATGGATCCGGCTACAGGTAAAACCTGCGCATTAGGACGACGAAAGTCCACAGCTTGACGAAGTCCTCCCGTTTTTCCTGGCTTCTTCACAGGTCGAGCAGGACTCGCCCATCAGCTAGCTTCATTCCGATACACCCAACCGAGCTCAACCAGCGATTCGTTGAGCGCCTTCATCCACTCGCGCTCCGCGGGTGCGTAGGTGCGTGGCCTGCACCGTATTGGCAGAGTTCCCTCTTTGAACCGAATGACGAACGGTTCAATCTTCGAAGGTGGGTCATTTCCAATCGCGATGCGCCAGATATCGTACCGCATGACAACATCAAACAGTTCTCTTTTCCGCTCTGCAGGGAAACCATTTGCAACAGCTTCGTTGATAAGCTCACAGAGTCGTGCAATAACCTTCTTCTTGTCTGGAGGATCAAAACTCATCGGAGTTTCTGACTCGAACGGATCAAAATCCACAATCTCCTTATTCGCAAGTGCAGAAAGCTGACCTTCAACATCAATTCCTAGAGCCTTCAGAGTGAGCCGGCCCAACAGGAACTCATCCTCTTCTGTCTCCGTGATGATACAAGTCACCTTGCGCATGAGAACCTTTCCTGCAGGCGTGATCAACTCCAAATCCAGCTGAATCGATTCATCACAGCTAATAATTGCGCCTCCCACAGCTTTTCCATCAATCGGCTTCTGTAGGCGCTCAACTTTCACATCCGGACAGGCTTGCAGTAATTCCTCCACAATTCAACGAGGAATCACATTGTATTTCGTACCATTGTCTCGGAAATAGGGCATTGTTACCACCCCATTGAATACAACGTGCATTGGTGCGCGGTCTTCACCATCTCCCAACACTCGCTTCATTTTCGACGCTTCAGCGCCCTTGCGTCGATCCATGCGCTCTTTGAACGCTTGTCGAGCAGCCTTTTTTTGCTCATCAGTGGCCGAAGGACAGTCACTGACCTGTGGAGTAGCGCCGTCGCAGAAATCTCGCGAATGCGATCTCGCACAAACTCGGCGCGTCTGGATAGCGGTCGCGCCGAGCGAATTATTCCCGGTTGTTGGAGTAGCGTATCTTCGAAATACAGGCCCAAGTCTTCGCAGGCTTCAGAGTTGGGGGGGGGTTCTTGTGTTGACGCTTGTTCCTTGTCTTAGGGCGTCGGGCCTTGGGCGTGCGGCGTTATCGGGCCGGCGTTTCCTCGGCGTTCCCGTCGGGCGCGCGGCGTTATCAGGCCGGCGTTTTCTGGGGTGTGTGTGGCGTTATCGGGCCTACACGGGGGGTCTTGTGCACGGCGGTTATCAGGCCAGTGCGGTCCTTCGCCTAGGCAGCGCGTTATCGGGCGCCCACCTAAACGGTATACGTTTAACGTGCCTTTGATCCAGCACGGGTCTGTGGGGGGGGGGGGTGAGCACCCGAACCAGCAAACGACGGGGGGCCGCGATATCGAGGCGGCTCTACTTGCCGGCGCTTGGTGGTTCCCCTGGAACCTCGGAGAAGACAGGAGGTCTTTGTGGTTCAGAGAAATTTCGGGACTGAGTCCTTACCCTATCCTATGCCCTAGCTACTGGCTACTCCGTACTACTGCTTGCTAAGCCTATCGTTCTGTGCCTATCCCTACTTCTGTCGTGCTTGCACTGCCGTCCTTCAACCTGATTTGCGTGGCGCAATCAAGATCTTACCTCGGCGCGTTTTGCTCGGCGGGGTTTAGGGTCGGCGCGTTTTGCAGAACCGGGTGCGCTGGTCGACCCGTCGGATGATTACACGTCGCACTGGATTCTGACACCGTGTCTCACGGCCCATCACCCACGCCGACTTTCCCGTCGAGCTTGGCCCTGCGTCGCGCCCATCAATCCGCGTCGCGTTCCATCAGCCGCGTCGAAGTCCATCACTCGCGTCCCGGCGCCTTCTTCCTCCGGCGCCCGGCGCGCCCACTTCTTCCGCGGGGTACTACACCACATCCGTCCCGCTGCCACGCACGCGCACTCCCCAGGTGGGTGTGTCGTCGCAGAACCTGCCCCGCGCCTTCGCTTCGTCTCGACACATCGCGTTTTCTGCCCTCGCAGTCCGCTTCGCGGTACTCCAAGCACGACGTCGACATCAACGACATCGACCTGGAGGAAGAAGAGCTTGACACCGACGATCTCGAGGCCGCTGGCTGCGCGGTTTGTGCCCTCGGCGCGCATCGTCCTCGCCTCCCCGTCGCGCCCCAAGTCCAGCTCCCGGCTTCAGGCGCCCCCGTCCACTCGGTGACTGCTCTTGTCGCCGACGCGCACACTCTCCCGCGCGAGAACCAGGAGCTGCGCGCCCAGTACGAACTCGTCTCAGCGCACAATGCGGGCTTGGCTACTCACGCGTCCGTGCTGCATGACCGCAATCTCGCGATCTTGCATCGTGCTCGCGAGGGTTATCGCGCAGGCATGATCCGGCTCGAGCAGGCGCTCCTCTCCCGGGAGCACGCCGAGCGGGACTACGCCGTCCTGGAGGACCGAGTGACCGACTTCCGCGCTCGTGCTGAGCGCGCCGACGCTGCCGAGGCTCTACTCCGCGCCGAGCGAGGCTCCTCGACAGAGCAATATCGTGATCTTCAAGCTCAGCTCCGGGCGGCACGAAACCAGGTCACTGACTTGACTACCGTGTCGCTTGCGCGGCTGTTTGCTGCACAAGGCGGGCGCGACGACGCGCGCGCCGAGCGTGACGACCTTCGCGTCGACCTCGCAGCCGCCCAAACCGCCCTCGCTCCTGTCCAAGCGCGCGTGGCCGCCGCCGAAGCTGAACGAGATCACATGCGGCAGCTCGTGGCCACTGCCAAGCAGCAGCGCGACGCCGCTCTCGCCGAGCGTGACCGCGTGACCCGCGTTCTCATGGTCGTCGAGCAAAAGCGTGACGAGGCCCTCGACATGCGAGATCAAGTGCGTCGCGCCTCCACGGCCCTGAGACGCTGCTGTCACCGAGAGGGACCGGGCACGTCAAGCCGTGGCCGCCCTTGAGCAGCGGCGAGACGCTGCCGTCGCCGAGAGATCAGGCTCGTCAGGCCTTGACCGCTCTGGAGCAGCAGCGCGCCCCTGTCGACGAAGAGCTCCGCGCGGCCCGTGCGTCGCTTTCTCAGAGCCGCATGGAGATCGAGGCGGCCCAGAACCTGAACGTCCCGCTGCAGGACGACCTTCTGCGCGTCAATGCGCTCTTAGTGGCCCACGCCGAGGAGCTCCGCCGCGGCGCGACGCGTATCCACGAGCTGGAGGAGTCAGTGGCTACTGCTACGACTCTCCGTGTGGCCGCCGAGTCCGAGATGGCGCGGGCTCAAGCCGGCGAACTTTGCGCCACATCTCGCGCGGCGCAGTATCGAGCTGGGTGGCTGTCCATGCGGCGGTCGTCTCAGCAGCGTCGAGGAGCAGTCGGCGCCCAGACCCATCGTCTCAGCGCTCGCGTCGCCAAGCTGGAGGAGGAGCACGACTTGGCCATCCGAGAGCGCGACGAACGCGCTGTGGCTTGGCGTCGGATGCTTCGAGACGCGCGTCGGGGCCGAGAGATGGCGCGGCGGATGCGCGACGAGCTTGCTGATCGTCTCGCCGGCATCGTAACGCGTGTAGGCGGGCAGATCGACACCGCTGACCTGGTCAGGCGATTCGAAGCCACTTTCACGGCGGAGATCGACGGTGCGACCCCCCTCCCCCTGCTATTCCTACGTCCGCAGCAGTTCCTGTGGCATCCGCGGTTCCTGTTCCTGCTCCAACTGCGTCGAGCTCTGGTGCCCGGGCGGGCTCGTCGACTGGCGCTTCCCCTCCAGCAGGTCCTTCGCGCTCCCGTCCTGTTCCGACTTCGTCCGCTGCCTCGTCCTCGTCGGGTTTTCGGCGACCTTGACACGGCGCGTCGAGTCGTTCGGGTCCTCAGTCCCGCGCGTCTAGGCCGTCAAGAGTGGCGTCCGCTACGTCGTCTGGTTCTTCGCCCTTTCGACGTAGTCGACGGCTCTCTACCGTGGCCGACACTGCGGCCTCCGACAACGCCGCTGCGCAGGCCTCATCTGCAGCTACGCCCTCCGCGGCCGCTGCAGCTGCAGCGCGCGCACGAGAGGACGCGTCGCTCTTCGGCTCCGAGTCTTCGGACAGCGAGGACCAAGCGCGGCGAGCTCAGTCCAAGCGCCGCCGGCTGCATAGCCCCGGGTCTCGCTCACGGTCGCCGGCGCGTCCGCCTCCACGTTCGCAGTCACGTTCCCGGACACCCCCGCGCTCCCGTTCTGCTTCGCGGTCGCGTTCCCGCTCGGTCTCTCGTTCGCGTTCGCACTCGTCTCCACGCTCGCGCTCGCGTTCTCGCTCGCCCTCCTTGGCGTCGACGCGTTCGGCCGGCTCAACGCGTTCGGCGCACGCGGCGGGGTCGGCGGCCTCGCGTCACTCTTCTCCTGCACGGCTGGCGCACTCCTCGTCGAGGGGCGGTGCGGCAGCCGGAGCTGGACCAGGCACTGGTCCGGGCGATTCGGGCGACTCCAGTGGCAACGACTCGTCCGCTTCCTCGTCGTCCCGCGCCTCGTCCTCGAGCACCGCCTCCAGCGGCTCGGCGAGGAGTGCTCCGGCGGCGCCCTTCTTCGACCCTGTGATTCCGCCTGCCGAAACTCCGTCTGGCTGGCGGCAGCCTCGCTACGCTCCTTGGCCCAAGCGGGTACGACGTCTCCGCCTTCATCTCATCACCGTGCAGGAGTTGCGAACGCTCTTCCTGCCGCCCGGCTGGGTCATTCCGCGCCGTGTTCCCCCCGCGCCTGCGAACTGGAACCGCGCCCTCGTGACTCTGGCCAACGTCGACGCGCTATACGCGACTCGGCCATGGCGGTACCTCGCTCAAGCCGCTGAGGCGCTTCTCTTCGCGTCCGGCGACGCGGCGTTCCGCCCATTCCTACGTCGGCTCCGGCACCACATCGAGCACTGGGCTCAGGCGTACTGGGAGTCCACCCATGAACGCTTCGTGCAGGGCGCGGCGTGGAAAAGGTGGCGCACGGCGCGTAACTCGCGTCGCTCACACGCGGGCAACCACCTCAACAGCCTGTTGCAGCTGGTGGTCGGGCTGTTCCAGCAAGGGCTCGCAGACATGGACCTCTTGCTGGACCCAATGGTGCTTCACTTTCCGCCCGCGCACACGTCGATCGGACGGTGGTATCCAGGCATCCAGCACGCGACGTTGCAAGCCGCGCTCGACGACATCGACGCGCAGGAGCCCTGGCGCCGGTTCTATCGGACGCCGCTCACTGTGGCCGAGATGGACGCCAACGTACGCTGCCGAGTGACGCGCGATCACCCAGCCTTCCATGTGCCGCGTCTTGCAGGTAAGTTTGTCCAGCAGGTTTGAGTCTTGGCCCATCGTTGCAGTCCGTCGCGTTTAGTTGTTGTAGCCGTAACTTCAACACGTAGCCTTGATCTTTTCCCTTGTTTCTTTCCACTTCTCCACATCTTTTATGAGACGGCCCTCCGCCGTCCCATCTTCAGCAACAGGCTGGTCCTCCTCACTTCCCTCATCCAATCCCTCGCTCCGGCCATTCCCAGAGTCGAGGCTTCCCACCAGTCCTCCCGTCGGCAGCCCCCCCGCCGACTTAGTCGCACCCGTGGGCGCTCACCCACCAGGCTCCACCGCCTCCGCGTTCTCGTGCGACTGCATCGCCTCGAACCGGTTGCGTCCCGTGCGCTGGCGCAGGAAGTCGTACAGCAACCCGCCGCAATTCAGATCGAGCTCGTCGACCCACGTCGTGTCCGGGTAGCCTTTCCATTTGACTTCGAACTCGCGTCGCGTGCGCCCATACCGGGTAGCCCGCCCCTCGCGCACATTCACGATCTTCTCGACCTCGAAGACGTCGTCCTCTAGCTCGCACGTGGCTTCCCAGCTATCCTCCGGCAAGAGCTTCTCGTCGAAGTCGAAGCGCTCCTCGGCCAGCACCGTCAGCTGCGTCGCGGGTCGCGACGGGAATTCCCGGACGGGCTTCAGCTTGGAGATGTGGACGACGGGGTACAGCTGATAGGGCGTACCCGTCGTCTCGAGGCGCACTGCGAACGCGCTGACCAGCTCGGCGACGCGGAAGGGTCCGTGCCACATGTGCGCGAGTTTGCGCGCATACCCCGGCTTCACCCGATCCAGGTACAGCCAAACTTGCGAGCCCGTCGCGATCCCATGTCGCGTCGCGTTTTCAGTTTGTCGACGCACTCTCTCTTCGACGGCCTCTCGGACTAACTCCAACGCTTGTGCCCTTGCCACCTTGTAGTGTCGCTGAATACGGAGCCTCCACCGCCTCGCCTCGGCGTCCCGGGTCAACGTGTTCCCGACGGCCAGCGTCGCTTCCAGCGTCGACCGAGGATCCCAGCCGTGCACTAAGAAGAACGGGGTTTCATTCCTCGTCCGGTCGTGCGACGTGTTTAGCGCGAAGGTAAGACGCTCGGCGTATTCGTCCCAGTCGCGTTGGTCGACGTCTGCGATGTACATCTTGATCGCTGTTGTAACCGTCTACACCATCCGTTCTGCAGCACCGTTGGCTTGGGGACGATAAGCAAGCGTCGCTCGCTGTCTCTGACCCATGTGTTTGCTGAACGCCTTGAAGACGTCGGACATGAAGCCCGGCTCGCCGTCGTGGCGGATAGCCTCGCTCGCGCCGAAGCGCCTGAACACCGCCTCCTCGTACGCCTCGGCCACCGTCTGCGCGGTTCGTGACGCATTCGCTTTGACCACGACGAACCCCGTGAATAGGTCGACCCAGACTAACAGCTCTGTGTTCCTTTGTAGGATGCCGGTAACGACGGAATATGGTCCATGGCAATGACCTGGAACGGGTACGTCGCGACGATGTTGCCCGGCGACTCGCCCTGGATGGTCGGCCGATCCTTTCCCGGTGCATTCGCCGACGTAGCGCTGAACGCTTCTGAAGATCCCTGGCCAATGGAAGTGGCGCCTCACGCGTTGGTACGTGCGGCCAATACCCTGGTGTCCGCCTTCCAGGCTCGCGTGATAGTGGTGGAGTACATCTTCCCGAGAGTCTCTGGGATCACCAGCTTCATCATCACATCGCGATCCTCGGCGGAATCGTCGCTTCTCGGCTGGTAGTAGAGCAGCCCGCCTTCGCCCTCTTCGTACTGAGGCGCAAGCTTTTGGCAGTTCTTCACCTCGCGCCGAGATAGGTCTCCGACGTCGCCGCGGAGATACTTCTTGAGGTTGACGATCCAGACCTCTTCGTCCTGGGCGACGCGGATGCGGTCCAGGCGCAGTCGTTGCACTACCAGCTCCTCCAGGACTTCTGGAGGTCGGACCCTACGTGTTGTCGTGCGTGCGGCAGCCGAGCGCGTCGTCACAGCGAGGACTTGTGCTGTCCCGCGTCCCGCGTCCATGGCCTTCCCGGCGGGGTCACCTGCGCCGCGCGTTTTCGCGTCGCGATTTTCCGCGTCGCGATTTCCGCGTCGAGGTTTTCCGAGTCGAGGTTTTCCGCGTCGAGATTGTCCGCGTCGGGACTGGCTGGAGACGCCATCTCGGGACTCGATGCCCGTGGTCGGATGACTTCTTCCAAGCGATTCAGCGTCTTCAGATCTTGAATCTCTTCGGGGCTGTGCGCGTTGCGGCCTCCTTGACGCTGCAGAGCTTGTCCAGCCAGCATGTCGGCACTCGCGTTCCAGTCTCGTCGTACGTGGAAGAGTTCGTGACGCGGCCATGCCTGGAGTGCGTTTCGCGTCGTTTGTCGCAGCAGCTTCAGCCCCGGGGACTTGCAGTCCATCTCGTCCCGCATCTGCCTGATAACAAGGTTGGAGTCTCCGCATACGACGAGTCGGGTGACGTCGTCGAGCTCCTCTAGAAGAGAACATCCGAGCAGCAGCCCGCGGTATTCGGCCTCGTTGACCGTGAGGTCCGTCGCATATCCCGACGCGGCGCGTACGATATCCCAGTTCGGCAGCTGCCAAATGACGGTACTGTATGCTCCGCCTTCTCGCTTCGCCTTGGCCGATCCGTCAAAGCTCAGAACGTGCAAGACCTCGTCGCGCGCCACGTCGGGGACTGGAATGACTACAATCCTGGACGCCCGTCTCCGTGGGGCGATCTCTTCTAGCGCCGCGTCGACGAAGGCTCGCGGGGTAATGCTCGCGGCCAGCGCGCCGAGGAGTTCTTCTTCTCCTTTCATGGATCGGCAGATTTCCAACTTCCACGGCGAGAGGATCGCGGCCCACTGTGACAGTCGCCCCTGTAGTCCTTTGGACCGGAACAACCAGGCGAGTGACGTGTCAAGACGCGGACCGGTCTCCCTGCTAGCATCGTGTAGCACTCGTTTAAGACGCGCAACAGGGCCAAGATCTCCTTTTCGACGATGTCGTAGTTCAGCTCGTTGGGCTTCAACGTACGACTGGTGAACTTCACAAGCATGTACACTTCGTCGTGGACCTGCGTGAGCACCCCTGAGATGGCCCAGTCGCTGGCGTACACGATCACGACGGATTCTCGGTTCGCGCCGAAGTGCTTCAACATTGGGGCCTCGGCGAGTTTTGCCTTGAGCGCGTCGAAGGCGCGCGTCGCGTGCGTCCACTTCTCATGTCCGCGGACTTCTGGATGCGTAACGTACTCGCTGAAGTCGGTCTCCGTCAGCGAATACAGCGCGGTTGCATACACCGCAAAGTCTGCAATGAACCGGTGGTAGTAATTGAGGCTACCCAAGAACGATTGCAGGCCCTTGAGCGTGCGCGGGAACTCGAGCGACGTCAGCGACTCCAGATTCTTCGGCTTCGCCTCGAGACCGAGTCCTGAGACTCGGTGGCCCAGGTAGTCGACCTTGGACATGCCCCACTCGCTCTTCTCGACACTGATGGACAAGTGCCACTGCTCGCAGACATCCAGCAAGCGTTCGACCTTCTCGCACAGGTCGTCCCACGACGTGCCCCCGATGAGGATGTCGTCGATGTACGACCTCCGTCCCAGAACGGAGTGAATACCTGGCTTCACCGGTTCGCCGTCTTCAAAGACGTCCCGAGTGCTGCCATCCGGGGACAGCTTCATGAACCCGTAGAGCGCGTTGTCGATCAAGCGTTGGTAAATCTGCGGTGCGTTGCACAGGCCGAACGGCATACGCAGCCATTCGTACAGTCCCATCGGCGTGATGAAGGCTGAGGTGAGCCGGGCCCGGTCTGTCATGGGGACGACCCAGAAGCCGCTCGCCATGTCGAGGGAGCAGTACCACAGATACTTGTCCAAGTCTTCGAGCAAGTCGTTGACGAGCGGCATGGGGTAAATCATCAACTGTGTCAGCCCGTTGATGAGCCTGTAGTCAATGCAAAGCCGGATATCGACGCCGTTCTTCTTTATGATCACGACAATGGGCGACGCCCACGGCGACGTCGACTTCTGGATCATCCTCGCGCTCAACAGCCCTTTGATCAAGTCGGCGACCTTCTCTCGAAACTGCGGCGGGATTTTCCGGACGCGTTGCGCGACGGGTTTTGCGTCGCCCACGTCGATGTCGCAGACAACACCCAGGGCGGCCGGCGGCAAGGCGTTGCCTTTGCCGATCAACCACTTCCGTCGCTTCCAGATGATTTGGCGTAGCCGCGTTTCTTGTCTCGCGGCTTTCTCGGGCGGGAGTCCAGTCGGCATGCCGACCTTCAAGTCCTCGATCTTCACCTCGGCGGTCAGCGAGAGGTCTGGCAGCACTGCCATCTCAGACTCGAGATCCTCTACGAAGAGGTCGGACCCCTCGTGGATGAGGACCGCGTCGTCTTCCTCCTGCTCATCAGGTTTCGCCTCGTCGAAATTCGGCTCGGCGGGGTTTGGTCCGTCGAGTTTTGGCTCGGCGAGTTCCGACTTCGGCGATTCTTCCATCGCAGCGCTTCCAGCCACATATCGGGTTCGCTTTCCACCGCCTCCTCGTCCGTATCCGGCTTGTGGTCGTCGGGTGGCAAGTCTACCCCCCTTCCCTTCGGCGCTTCCGCGACAGCCGCCAACACTGGGTTCACGGCGCGTCGCGTCCCGAGTTGTCCCGGCTCCGGGCGCAAGATGGCTTTAGGCGTCGGGTATGAGAAGCGATCCGTCATCGGTCCGTCGAGCTCGGCTGGGATCCAGTTCTCCTCCGCGTCGCGCGTCGCGCCGTACGCCAGATTCTGCCACTGCTGGTACCGGGTGGAGCCCAGTCGGACGAATCCACGGTTCCGAGGCTGGCCGTCAGACGGCGTCCACCACCCAAGCGTTGCATGCGCGTCGAGGGTTATCGCTGCGTCTCCGATGTTCGTGACACGCAGGTACGTTTTCTTTCCGACTCTCCCCTTGACAAAGGTAGTCACCCACGACTCTGCCCGTGTCACCCACAGGAACGGCGCGTTTCGATCCGGCCTCAGCAAGACTTCATGCGTGTCTCCTGGTTCGAGCCTCACAGGCGTCTTGACGTTGACCGGGTGCATCCGTGCGCCGTATAGCGGTCTTCGTCCGATCATCTGGATATGCACCTCGTCGGGGAGGCACGCCGTGCCATCCGCAGTGTCGACGCGCACTCCAGCGGGCACCATGAAGTTCATTCCCAGGATTGCGTGTTGGCCGACCAAATCGCCGACCCACAGGTGCATGTAGTACACCAAGTTCCCAGCCAAGGTAATCTTGACTCTGGTTCTCCCCACCGTGTAATATGTCTCATCACGAATTCCCACACACTCTTGCGTGATCTCCGTGTCAATCAGGCAGCCTACCTCACGAGCAAAGGTGGTGTCCAGGATGGACACCTCGGCACCTGTGTCGAGCAATAACACAGCACGGCGGTTGTTCAGCTTTCCATGAATCTTGGCCTGATTGTACCACTTGTGCGGCGCGTAATGTTTCCAGTATCCGCGTCGCTCTCCTGGTTGCAAGTCGATCTCGTCCAGGGGTGGTTCACGTGCAAACTCGTCGTCCGTCGTACGTCGGACCACCGAGATTCGCGGCGCGCGCTCTTGCGTGGTACGTTCCGGGTTGGATTCCCATGTATTATCATTCAGGGAAGTCGGGCTCTCACTAACCACCTCTCGCGACTTCTTGGTCACATATGCATAGACGGAAACAGGTCGCTCGTCTCGTACTGGTTTCCAAGCCAGCGAGCGTCCTAGTTTAACATCTTCTCGGCGGCCGGCGGCAGCATTCCCGCGTGTTTATTCGGGTCAAACCACTGGCGCAATTGGTTGAAGAACTCCTCCATTGGGCATTCTCCGGCTTCGTGCACGTCACCGCAGGCCTTGCACACCCTCAAGCATCGCTCCGTCGGGTGCTGGCCACCACACTTCTGACACGTCAACAACTTCCAGCAGTCTCCTTCGACATGGCGACGTGAACCACAGTGGCGGCACCGCGGGCGGTCGCGTCCCGAGTCGTCGGGATCGAAGTTACGACGCGCCGGCTCTTCCGGCGGGGCCTGTCCCGCGACGAACAACTTGGCGCGTTCTTCGTCCGCCTCGTCTTGGTCGTACTGGCGATCGTCGCTGTCGCGACTTTCGCGTTCCGAGTCGTACTCGTCCGACGCGACGTGAATCGCATGCACGGCGCGCGCCGGCTGAGTCGGCGGGGTCGGCGCCTTTTGGAGGAACTTGTTCGAGCCGAAGAGAGTCTTTTTCTGGTGAGCCAATCCACGTTGTCGGCGAGAATCGTCATGGGCTCCTGCACGACGCGAATCGCACGTTAACCAAGATTTGAGGTCCCAATCGCACAGCCTCTCCATCTCGAAAGCCCCCAGCACGAACCCCGAGTCACGCAGCATCTGGAAGAGAGTCGGCGCGGCGTGGGCAACGCTGGTGAGACTATCGAAGTCCGGCGCCACGAAGGGGCCTGTGAAGTTGCTCATCAGCATGGGCTTGAGGAAGACCAAGATTGGGTCTTGTTCTATCAGGCTCTGTGCGCGCCACGACGTACCGTACCTCCTCGACGGTGTACTGACGTCCCGTGTCCTTGCCTTGCGGCTTGGACAGCGACTCCTCCGCCGAGTCCGGCGCGCGCAGCTTCTTTTTCTTCCTCTTGGGCGACTTGCGCTTCGTGGTTGCCTTGGCGGTGGGTTGTTGTTAGTCGTCGGCCTTTGCAGGCTTCCGACCGGTAGGACCGCGACTTGCGTCGCGGCTCCCTCGTCGGGAGCCGCATCGGGAACGGCAAACTGTTCTTCGTAGCCCTCCTGGTCGTCGCTGGCCCCGTGGCCTGTCGTGAAGGTTCCCTCAGAGCTCCACGACGCGACAGGTCTCTCACTGTGCTCTCTTGCGGTCGGCGACCTTCCAGTCGACGGCGCGCCTGCCTCCGATGCCTCTTGGATCGTTGGCCCGTCATTCGAAGTAGTACTCCCGAGTCGCGGCACCATTGTGGAGTAGCGCCCTCGCAGAAATCTCGCGAATGCGATCTCGCACAAACTCGGCGCGTCTGGATAGCGGTCGCGCCGAGCGAATTATTCCCGGTTGTTGGAGTAGCGTATCTTCGAAATACAGGCCCAAGTCTTCGCAGGCTTCAGAGTTGGGGGGGGGGGTTCTTGTGTTGACGCTTGTTCCTTGTCTTAGGGCGTCGGGCCTTGGGCGTGCGGCGTTATCAGGCCGGCGTTTCCTGGGGCTTGTGTGGCGTTATCGGGCCTACACGGGGGGTCTTGTGCACGGCGGTTATCAGGCCAGTGCAGTCCTTCGCCTAGGCAGCGCGTTATCGGGCGCCCACCAAAACGGTATACGTTTAACGTGCCTTTGTTCCAGCACGGGTCTGTGGGGGGTGAGCACCCGAACCAGCAAACGACGGGGGGCCGCGATATCGAGGCGGCTCTACTTGCCGGCGCTTGGTGGTTCCCCTGGAACCTCGGAGAAGACGGGAGGTCTTTGTGGTTCAGAGAAATTTCGGGACTGAGTCCTTACCCTATCCTATGCCCTTGCTACTGGCTACTCCGTACTACTGCTTGCTAAGCCTATCGTTCTGTGCCTATCCCTACTTCTGTCGTGCTTGCACTGCCGTCCTTCAACCTGATTTGCGTGGCGCAATCAAGATCTTACCTCGGCGCGTTTTGGTCGGGGGGGGGTTAGGGTCGGCGCGTTTTGCAAAACCGGGTGCGCTGGTCGACCCGTCGGATGATTACGCGTCGCACTGGATTCTGACACCGTGTCTCACGGCCCATCACCCACGCCGACTTCCCCGTCGAGCTCGGCCCTGCGTCGCGCCCATCAATCCACGTCGCGTTCCATCAGCCGCGTCGAAGTCCATCACTCGCGTCCCGGTGCCTTCTTCCTCCGGCGCCCGGTGCGCCCACTTCTTCCGGGGGGTACTACACCACAGACCCAATGAGTGCCCTTGCAGTGCAGACAGCCCTGAGCAGGTGCAGCATCGCGCTTCTTGAATGTCGGTCGCTCGTCCCGACGATCTTCTCGAGATGACCGCCATCGATCTCCTTTCTGCGATTTGTGGTTGCTGCGATCTCCATTGTTGCTGCGAGGAGACGTTTTCGTAGCTCTAGCTGAACCTCTGTCTCTTGTCGAGTGAAAGAGATCAAAGGATTGTTGATTCTTGAGTGCCTCCGCCTTGATCACATCAAACAAGCGCGGTACACTGAGCTTCACCGTCGGATCTAGGTCTTGGTACAGCAAAACATGCTCCTTCAAGCCGGAGGGACGCAGATTTTCAGTCAGCAAACGGCATTTCAGCTTTTCATTACCGTCTAGCGCCACACTCAAGCCATATTCTTCGATGAGTTCATCAAACTTGTCGAAATAGTTCAAAACCCTGGCCTTCACATCCTTCTGGCGAAGGTCCATCCTTAGGTGCTGGTTCATGATCGCATGAACATTCGGGATCTGGTCGTTCATCATTGTCGCCAAGATCTGGTTAATTGCTGCGATCAGCCTGTCGTTCGTCATCTCGCTCACTGAAGTCTTCAATTCCAACTCACAAAATGTCTTGAGCAACCGGCGGTGGATGGTGGAGATCATCGGCCTCATGACAGTAGCCAGCGACTCACCCGACTCCTGGCAGCGTGCAATCACTGCCGCCTCGTATAGCTCCCGCTCCCGCCGCCACTTGACGAGAGCCTCGTGCGAGAAACGGACAATCGGAGATGGCTCCAACGCTGTCCACAGCTTGGTCGTCGGCTGCGACGTGTCACCGTCATCTCCTGAGGTGTTCGCCCGACTGCGCTTCTGCTGGGGGCCGCTCATGGCCCGTGTTGGATCGTTGTCCACGGCCAAAGTCAATTTTGTAGTGTCTTTCGACCCTTTGCTTGCTTGAGAATACTTGCTTGGAGGTGAAATGAATTCTGGTATTCAATGCAGCCGCTGTAGTTTCTCTTTGCTATATGCCTCCTTACTATGCAGTATACAATTGCTCTCAGAGTTCGCCCCGCTCTCATGCTTCTTCATGTCGTTGATAACGACCGTGCGAAGTGTCTGCTGAAGGCAGCCTGTCCCAGGCCGCCACTACAAGCCGACAGCTCCGCCGCCGCCGATCAAAATCTTCCCGGCCTTCTCGATTTCAGAGCGAACCTCCTGCAGCTTGGCCTCCGTGGTTGTGCGCGTGTAGTCCTCCGGGTCTTGCTTGATCGGAACCGTGTACGTGCTTCCGGTGGCCAACACCAGGTAGTTAAATTGCAGCTTCTCCGCCTTTCCGCTCTTCTTGTCATCGGCGCTGATCGGGTGGAACGAGACCTCCTTCTTGTCAGCCGAGATGCCCGTGGCCACCGCGTGCTCCATGCGGACAAAGCCCGAGGACGTCTTCGGGATGGCATTGTCATACGGGCATTGTCATACGGGACGAACATGTTCTTGGCGTAGTCGGCATCCACGCAAGCGCGAGCTGCGCCCAATGTGTGGTAGAAGTGAGCGCTCTTCTCGAGCACAACGACCTCGATGTTGTCCGCCTCGGTCAGAGTCTTGGCTAGGTTCTGGGCGCAGTTAATGCCTGCCTGGCCACCGCCGACGATCCCAATGCGCATCATATTGGACTTGATGAGGTGGCTGGAGGCTCGGGTGGTGATCGTCCGGGTCGAAGTTCTTGAGAGGAAGTGGTTCATCCGCGAAGAAATGGATAATGATCGCTTTCGACCTGGCGTTCGGGTAGTCCAGACACTCTTGCAAAGACAAGTAATTCCTTACGCGTTGCCGGAGAAATCATGGCCTTCAAGCTGTAGTTTACTCCCCAGCACATGTACCTCTACAGCACGGTTGGCTCGGAGTAAACCCTTATCTGTGGCGCTTGTTGATGCGATTATAGAAATTCATGTTCAAAAGGCTACACTACAGGCGTCTGCCTATTCGCCACAGTGGTACTTATGATGTTTGCGAATCAACAACGCGGTCTGAACATAAATGGATATGTACTGACTTACTACAAGGTTAGCTCAAGAATACGGTGGAGGTATTCCCGCAACGTGCCACTTGTCGCAGTAGGTCTCGCTGTACACTCATCTAAATCAATATGCTTGCAGAAGTAGCGCGCAAATCTTGAGAGCTTGTTGTACTTTCCTGTGCGAGGTTCATTAAAATATACAGTCGGGACTAGCCCGGGGACGTCTGTACTTTGAGAGTACATAATCGTCAGCGGATGACTCCCCCGCCTTGTGCTCACAGTTTGCTCACAAATTGATGTGTATCGGAGTTGCTTAGCTTTCGATCAGAATGCCGAGAAGGTTGAAAAGCAAGCTTTCAGTCAGGCAAGCATGTTCAATGCCAATTATCCGCTATCTGGTACACTTTTACTTCGGGACGGTCGCACCGATGCTGGACCAGATGTACCCAGCGAAGTAGTCTCTCGACTTGATCATCCAGGTGACCCAGTCCCCGAACACGACACCTCCCCACACGGGCAGCTGTGATACGCCTCCGCACGGACCCAGGGGCAAGATCATCGCGGCAACTGGCGGCTCCTCGAATGGCTTCGTAAAACCTACTTGCTTCTTGCGAATCACGGTTGCCAGTTCTGCAGCAAGGAACTTGCCCTGCTCGCCAGCAACGAGCGCCATCTTGGGCGCTGGGTGGTTGCATACATCGCCCAGCGCGAACATGTGAGCGTACTTGTCGCCCTCCAGCTGCAACTGGCCGTTCACCTTCACAGCTCCACGTTTGTCCACAAGACTCGCATCCATCTCATGAACCAGCGTCGCAACGGGACTAAACCCACCACACAGGAGTTGGATGTCCGACTCAATCTCCGTGCCCTTGTCGGTGCGCAGCGTGCGCTTCTCAAAGCTATTGCCGCTCAGACGCTCCGTCAGACGCTCGCCCAAGATCACCTTCACCCCCAGCTTGTCCAGCGACGCACTCAAGTACGAGTAGAACTTGTCGCGCAGATTGTTGCCAGCAATGAGCTTGTCGTTGGCGTCGACGATCGTCACGGACTTGATTGGATACTTGGCCTTGATCTCCGCGGCCACCTCGCAGCCCACGGCCCCTCCGCCCACCACCAGGACATTCTTCGCCTTCTCGATGTGGCCGCGCACCTCCTGCAGCTTGGCTTCCGTGGCCAACCTAGCGAAGTCTCGGTTGTCCGGCTTGATCGGCACCGAGTACGAGCTGCCCGTGGCCAGCACCAGGTAGTCGAACTGCAGCGTCTCCGTCGCCTCGCTCTGCCGGTCGTCGCTGCCGATCGCGTGGTACGACACCTGGTTCGTCTCGGCCGAGATGCGCGTGGCCACGCCGCGCACGATGCGCACGAACTTGGCGGAGTGTTTGGGGATGGCGTTGTCGTACGGGATGAACATCTTGTCGGTGTAGTCGGCGTCCACGTAGGCACGCGGGGCGCCGACGACGTGGTAGAAGAAGGAGTTCTTCTCGAGGACGACGACCTCGGTGTCGTCCGCCTCCGTGAGGTTCTTGGCCAGAGCTTGCGCCGTGTTGATGCCGGCCGCTCCGCCTCCGATGATAACGACGCGGGTCATGGTTTGGATCTCGATGGGTCTTGTACCTTGGGCTGACGATTGGATTGTTTGTGGCCAGCCGACACTCACCAACATTCCCGGTCACATTGATCACAAACAAGGAGATTGCGTGCCATCGACTGTAATTTGCCTACACGGGACGGCCCCAAGGACGAGCTACGGAGACGACGTAGTAGTACTTACTACAAGTTGGTGAGGCTATTCTTCGCCATGATCGCGTTCACTATGCGCAATGAGCGCTGCGTTTTCTTCCATCTCTCGAGGGTGATTGAAAAACAAAATGAATATCTTTACAGTTATAGACAAGTTCTCCTACCGAACTACGCCACTGCTTAGTTGGGGACGACGGCGCCCATGCTCTTCCAGGCCATGCCGGCGAAGTAGTCCTTGGACTTGATGGACTTGGTGATGAGGTTGCCCATGACCACGCCGCCCATGACGGGCAGCTGCGAGACGCCGCCGTTCGGGCCCAGCGGCAGCATCGTGCCCACCACCTCCACCTTGGGGAACGGCTTGCTCACGTTACTCTGCGTCTTGCGCGCCACCAGCGCCAGCTCGGCGCCCAGGTGCTTGCCCTGCAGGCCGGCGTAGAACATGCGCTTGGGCGCGGGGCTGTTGCTCGCGTCGCCCAGCGCGTAGATGTTGGAGTACTGCGCGCTGTCCAGCTGCAGCTTGCTGTTGACCTTGATGAAGCCCTCGGGCGTGACCAGACTCGCGTCCAGCTTCTGGATGAGCTCCGTCGTGGGGCTGAAGCCGCCGCACAGCAGCTGCACGTCCGACTCGATCTCCGTGCCCTTGTCCGTGCGCAGCGTGCGCTTCTCGAAGGAGTTTCCGTTGAGGCGCTCCGTCAGGCGCTCGCCCAGCACCACCTTGACGCCCAGACGCTTGAGGTACGTGGACAGCTTGGTGCGGAACTTGTCGCGCACGTCGTCGCTCGCGACCAGCTTGTCCTTGCCCTCGAGGATCGTCACGGTCTTGCTCGGGTACTTGGCCTTGATCTCGCCGGCCACCTCGACGCCCACGGCGCCGCCGCCCACGATGAGCACGCTGCTGGCGGCCTTGACCTGCTCGCGCACCTCGGCCAGCTTGGTCTCCGTGGTCGAGCGCTTGAAGTTGTTGGCCGGCTGCTTGATGGGCACCGTGTACGTGCTGCCCGTGGCCACCACCAGGTAGTCGAAGCTCAGGCTCTTGACGGGGTCCGCCAGCAGGTCGCCGGCCTCGTCGATGGGCGCGTACTCGACCTCGTTGGCGCCGGGCACGATGCGCGTCACGACGGCGCGCTGGATCTTGACGAAGGTCTTGGCCGACGGCGGGATGACGTTGTCGTACGGCACGAAGAGCTTCTTGGTGTAGCCGGCGTCCACGACGGCGCGCGGCGTGCCCACGGCGTGGTAGTAGTACTTGCTCTTCTCGAGCACGAGCACCTCGGTGTCGTCCTTGGCCGTGAGGTCGGCCGCGAGCGCCTGCGCCACGGCGATGCCCGCGGGGCCGCCACCGACGATGAGGATGCGAGGCATGGTGAGAGTGTGTGTGTGGGGGGGGGGGGGTAGGGAGAGGAGCGGTCAAGCTGCACTTGCGGTGCGCCGAGGAGTTTGTAGAATGAGCGTGAGGCGTGTCAGTCCGCGCAGTCCTGTCGTGCCGGCCCGGCATGCCGGTACGGCAGCCGGCCCGGCGGCGGGGAATCAATCGCTTTTCACGGACGGTGTACAGACTTCTGCCCGAATAAGGAACGGGTGTACAACTAATAGCCTCACATATTTAATATTATTTTCCAGTCGATGTGGCGATAGGGGGATGTGCAAGGTACTGCAAGGTACTGTGGTACTAATGTGAAAAATCCAGTGCCAATCATCAGCTCTCCACCCTCGTTTGAAAAATAGCGCGCATTTAGAGATCTTACTAGACTTCAAACTACATGTACCGTAGTGGTAGACTCGCACTTTTGCGTTTGCACCTCGCCCCACAAGCCCACCTCCTCCCCCACTCCACCCATGAAGTCCACACCGTCCAAGCGTCTCCGCCTCACTTGGTCTGAGAAAGTGGGCATCCTCGACAAGGCAGCCCGCACACCTGCTCTCTCCTACAGGGGCCTGGCTGAGTGGGCTGTGACGGAGTTCAGCCTCCCGGCCGCCCCAGGCAAGACAACGATATGCCGCATAATCAAGTCAAGTGCAGTCCTGCTGGGGCGGCCGCTGGAGAAGGCTGTCCGCAAGAACGCCCAGCCCCTCAGCCACGTCCTGCTCGACCATACGCCACTGTTGGAATCATTCCGGACTCGGCTCTTCAGTTCATTTTGAAATAACTAAATCAGTACATTGGAAAAGTATACTCAACTTAACATCAATTTATATATTCTGCGTCTTTATATATATCAGGCGTTCCTTACGCGGGCAGATTACTGTACGTTCGCGATCGGTGCAAGATCGGGCAAGTCGCCGGGCAGAACGAACGGGCGCGGCGTGTCGCATGTGATGGGTCGCCGCGGGCCAATCAGCGGCCGCGCCGACACGTCACTCGCGCGCGCTACGCAATCAGCCTCCGTAAACAATCGCGTGATGCCAAGCTGTTGGATCTTATAGGATTGGTGCGGACTTTAGCTATAAGATTAAGCTCTACTATCAGGAGTCAGAGTCAGAATTATCTGGATTAACTCAACAGGTAGCTAAGAGGGAAATGAGAAACTATCCATATAGACAGGGATAAAAGTAGAAAGGGTGTGCTAACGTCAAATGGAGGCTCGGTCTCAGATCGGCCAAACGGAAACGGCAACTTGCGCCTTGGCTGGGGCTCGCGGTGCAGCCAGCGGCTGCTAGTCACGCCATTGTTGGAAGTGCGCGAGGGAGGACACGGCGATTGCGTGTGCGGTGCTCTGGTAGGGATCCTACGAGCGGATCGCTCGTCGAGTCTTACAATTTACAGGTACTGTAAGGTTAGTTGTTGGTGGCCCTCGCGCTGCCGTACTCGCAGGTTTGAGTCACGAATGGGTGCACGGGGCACAGTGCCGCAGCTCTGGCGGTGCGGGATGCTCGTTATCGGACGAGTGAGCTGAAGTGTGTGTGTGTTTTATGGTGTTGGGCAGTGACCGTCGTCCCGTGCAATCATGCGATAGATTCGACAGGTTAGGCGAACCCCGGGGGACGGGACAAAAGCTCGCAAGCAATGGTGTTGCTGGATGGTTGGTGGGAGTTAGTGTACACTCTACCGGTATAGTGTACAGTAGAGCTCGCGCTGTAAGTAATAGTAAGCCTTGCTCTACATGTACACTTTGCATCCTTGTGAAAATGTCTGCACGGGACCAGCAAAAACATCAAGCTAAGGCTACTTGCGATTATAGAAATTCATGTTCAAAAGGCTACACTACTTTGAGAGTAATCGTCAGCGGATGACTCCCCCGTCTTGTGCTCACATTTTGCTCACAAATTGATGTGTATCGGAGTTGCTTAGCTTTCGATCAGAATGCCGAGAAGGTTGAAAAGCAAGCTTTCAGTCAGGCAAGCATGTTCAATGCCAATTATCCGCTATCTGGTACACTTTTACTTCGGGACGGTCGCACCGATGCTGGACCAGATGTACCCAGCGAAGTAGTCTCTCGACTTGATCATCCAGGTGACCCAGTCCCCGAACACGACACCTCCCCACACGGGCAGCTGTGATACGCCTCCGCACGGACCCAGGGGCAAGATCATCGCGGCAACTGGCGGCTCCTCGAATGGCTTCGTAAAACCTACTTGCTTCTTGCGAATCACGGTTGCCAGTTCTGCAGCAAGGAACTTGCCCTGCTCGCCAGCAACGAGCGCCATCTTGGGCGCTGGGTGGTTGCATACATCGCCCAGCGCGAACATGTGAGCGTACTTGTCGCCCTCCAGCTGCAACTGGCCGTTCACCTTCACAGCTCCACGTTTGTCCACAAGACTCGCATCCATCTCATGAACCAGCGTCGCAACGGGACTAAACCCACCACACAGGAGTTGGATGTCCGACTCAATCTCCGTGCCCTTGTCGGTGCGCAGCGTGCGCTTCTCAAAGCTATTGCCGCTCAGACGCTCCGTCAGACGCTCGCCCAAGATCACCTTCACCCCCAGCTTGTCCAGCGACGCACTCAAGTACGAGTAGAACTTGTCGCGCAGATTGTTGCCAGCAATGAGCTTGTCGTTGGCGTCGACGATCGTCACGGACTTGATTGGATACTTGGCCTTGATCTCCGCGGCCACCTCGCAGCCCACGGCCCCTCCGCCCACCACCAGGACATTCTTCGCCTTCTCGATGTGGCCGCGCACCTCCTGCAGCTTGGCCTCCGTGGCCGACCTAGCGAACTCTCGACTGTCCGGCTTGATCGGCACCGAGTACGAGCTGCCCGTGGCCAGCACCAGGTAGTCGAACTGCAGCGTCTCCGTCGCCTCGCTCTGCCGGTCGTCGCTGCCGATCGCGTGGTACGACACCTGGTTCGTCTCGGCCGAGATGCGCGTGGCCACGCCGCGCACGATGCGCACGAACTTGGCGGAGTGTTTGGGGATGGCGTTGTCGTACGGGATGAACATCTTGTCGGTGTAGTCGGCGTCCACGTAGGCACGCGGGGCGCCGACGACGTGGTAGAAGAAGGAGTTCTTCTCGAGGACGACGACCTCGGTGTCGTCCGCCTCCGTGAGGTTCTTGGCCAGAGCTTGCGCCGTGTTGATGCCGGCCGCTCCGCCTCCGATGATAACGACGCGGGTCATGGTTTGGATCTCGATGGGTCTTGTACCTTGGGCTGACGATTGGATTGTTTGTGGCCAGCCGACACTCACCAACATTCCCGGTCACATTGATCACAAACAAGGAGATTGCGTGCCATCGACTGTAATTTGCCTACACGGGACGGCCCCAAGGACGAGCTACGGAGACGACGTAGT